ACCTTCACCAGGCGTCTTTATCTGTCGTGGAAAGGAGGATGCCCTTGTCACAAAGAATCTGGTCCCTGGAGAGTCTGTGTATGGGGAGAAGAGAGTCTCTATTTCAGTGAGTTCTAAACCCTTGTTTTAAGTACCAGCCCTAGCTGATGGTGCCACCTGCAGTTCAGTCTTGCTGTTGTGTCCTACTTGTGACAGTGGGGAGCTGGGGTGTTAGTACATAAGTTAGGCCATGCACACTGTCCCATGTGCCTTGAGATTGCCCGCCCATCATAGCCTCCAGTTCTTCAGTTCCCAGCTCCCCTCCCAATTCCCTGGCCTTGCCCTATTGTTCCCCAGCTCCATACTGTACCGGCTCCCTATCTTCTGTCTCTAGTCAGGACCTCCTGGTCCTGACAGGACATAGTTCTCCTCCATCCTCTTCTCTATGGCTGGCCAGAAGCCTACCTGCTCACTTCTAGGTCTAGTTCAAACGTCCCTAGCCCTTCCTGGTCCATTCTAGTTTGCCTTCCTCTCTCTTGGCTTGGTCTCTCTAGCCTGTCACCATCTCCTGAGGTAGTTTGTGTGTTGGTTCAGTGGGCACTTACTGCTCGGGGCAGGATCCATGTCCTAGTCAAGGTTGTCTCCAACACCTGAAACAGCTAGAGCAGGAAGTAATGCCTAGTGCCCAGGTCTTTCTGTCACCTCTGTGTTTACTGTCTGTGTTCTGTTCTTGTCCCTATTGTACATCTGCTTTTGGTTCTTATACAGTGATTGGGCTGCAACATTTCTTTTGAGGGCCCTACGGTTATGGGGTGGTATCCTACACAGGAACCCAGCACTGACTTCTGTTCCCATCTCTCCTGGATCAGGAGGGAGATGACAAAATTGAATACCGAGCCTGGAACCCTTTCCGTTCCAAGCTGGCAGCAGCAATCCTGGGCGGTGTAGACCAGATCCACATCAAGCCAGGGGCCAAGGTGCTCTACCTCGGGGCAGCCTCAGGCACCACCGTCTCTCACGTCTCTGACATCGTTGGCCCGGTGAGTGGATGGGTGGTGGAGGTGGAGGGAGCCGAGCCTGGCTGTTTACCTGCACTGTTAAAATGACCCAGAGCTGGGAACATAGATACCAAACTATTTTGGTTACCCTCTTGAAAAGTTGATGTCCCAGTGCTGGAAGGGTAGCTTAGTCACTAAAGTGCTTATCACACGCGCATGAGGACCTGATTTTGATCCTCGGAATTCATATGAAAGTGTGGTGGTGTGTGTACCCCTGTAACAGCACTAGGGGCAGCAGCAGCCGTGGAGCATGCTGGACATCGGCTGCGGTCTATGGATAAGCTCTACACCAGTGAGAGATCTTGTCTCAGAAATAGGATGGGAGGAGTTCCTGGAGAATAACACCTACATTGTTCTCTGGCTTCCACATACATAGACACAAAATACTCATGGCCCCCAAACCTAGTTTGTTCTCTCCCCAATCCCCCATATTGGGGTTGACCCCAGGGCCTCTTGGATGCTAGGCAGATACGCCTACATCCGCAGCCCTTGGTTTCTGCTGGTGGGCATGTGTTTTCTGTGGTGATGGCAGTGCAGAGAGCACCTGCCTCTTGGATGTCCCACTTCATGGCCTCTTGCTGTTGGCTGAATTACGGACTCTTTAATTTGGTGGGTGAAAGCACACACTGTTGTAGTCCTAGCTTAAGCTACATAGTCAGACCTTGTCTAAATACATACCGCAACAAAACTCAGACTTCTATTGGTATTTAATAGTGTGTGGCTTCAGTGAGACACTGAGTGAGCCAGAGGTGATCACTGTGGAGAATAAGGTTTGGAAAATTGTATGCTTGCTGTGAGTGCTGGCCCATTGCAAATGCCCTTGGCTCTGTCCTCTGCTCTGGACTTTAGCCTGTGTTGGGAGCCTGGGCTCTTGGGCCAGATAAATTAGGATCTTGTACCTTTATTGGTTGTGGATAACCATGGCAGGAGACTCATCTCCAGGCCCATTTACTCATCTGGACCATGGGTTTAGTGATGACGGTCTGAGGGCCTGCTACAAGTGGCGCATGAGCCCGTAATGGAGAACAAGTGTATGCTCATCGCTGTTGGTTTTTTTAGGATGGTCTGGTCTATGCAGTTGAGTTCTCCCACCGTTCTGGCCGGGACCTCATCAACTTGGCCAAGAAGAGGACCAACATTATTCCTGTGATTGAAGATGCCCGACACCCACACAAATACCGCATGCTTATCGGTGAGGGGCCTGGGGGCGGCCCAGGGAAGGTAGGATAAGCCACTGCATATTTCCCAGAAGAGGCCAGTGGAGCCTAAATTCAGATGGAGTTAGAGTAAGGAGCTGCAGGTGGAGATTGTGCTGGTCATCTCTGATCTCCCTCCCTGAGTCCCATGCACTTCTGCTCCCCTCCAACACTTGATGCCTTTTTACACTGCCCTGTCTCCTGCCTTTCTTTATATTATCTGATGACATTCCAGCCCTGAGCATGGCAAGTATGACCCAATGGCTCTTTTTTTTTTAAATACCTCAAAGGTCTAGTATAAAAATGGAAAGCCTCATGAATTCCCCCAGAGGTACTCGATACTTAACCATCTGCTTTCCAAATCCTTAAAGATGTTTTCATTCCATCACTTGGTTTATGTATTCATGTTTAAATCATACTGCCTAAAAACATTGCCTTTTCATTGCACCTTTTTGTTTTGGTTTGATTTGGTTTGGGGGGGAGTGGTTTTTCCCGCCTCCTTTTTTTCTTTGCATTTTCTCAGTTCACTTGGCCCCTTCTCTGGTCCTTCCCTCATTTGACAGCCCTGCCCACGTCTTGCCTTTAACTGCTCACCTTTACTTGTCTTTTTGATGACATGTCTGTCTCCCCCCAGACCCGGGAGCATCTCGAGGGCAGGGTCTGACTCGTCTCTGTGTCCCCCACGCCCAGCCCAGGGCTGGCCACAGAGTAGGTGGCAACCATGCTTTACAAGAGGAGTGGATGAGTGATGTGTCTGGGTTCTGGCCCCGCCTTTGGGGTGCTTTGGAGGGAGGGTGTGGTGGGGAGTGAGACTGGAGGCAGGAGACTCCCAGGAACCTGGTGGTGATGGAGCACAGGCCCCATATTGGGAGGCTCTGGGTAGCTCTCTGGTGGCTTCTACTTGGTAACTGCTGCCCCTTGTTCCTTAGCCATGGTGGATGTGATCTTTGCCGATGTGGCACAGCCAGACCAAACCCGGATTGTGGCCCTGAATGCCCACACCTTCCTGAGGAATGGAGGACACTTTGTGATTTCCATTAAGGTATGAGGCTTGGAATGTAAGTTGGGGCAGCAACAGTGGGTGCTTGATCTCTGTGTCTGAGCATGCTACTTAGCCTACGTCTTCGTTTATTGATCAACCCTCTTTAAGGTTTGAAGTAGATTGATATATGTGAAGTGCTTAGAACAGATTTCTGATACAGAGAAAATAAGTACAAAGTGCATTTTTAGAAACATTATATTTCTTCACCGTGTTCAAAATTAGCCTCTTGGGGCATTTGTTCTACTGTTACCAGGACATGAAAGAAAATTCCGGAGTTAAAACACTGCCTTAAATAAGTGGGACATCCTGTTTCCAGTCCAAGCCAAATTAAAATTTCTGTAATGGAGTTTTATAATTGCCCAGCCCTGGGTCTCCAAATCTCTAACCTCGTCCTTTCTCCTCTCTCTGTAGGCGAACTGCATTGACTCCACAGCCTCGGCAGAAGCTGTGTTTGCATCTGAAGTAAAGAAGATGCAACAGGAGAATATGAAGCCCCAGGAGCAGCTGACACTTGAGCCCTACGAACGGGACCACGCTGTGGTTGTAGGTGTGTACAGGTAAGTACCAAACTAGACTTCTCCCTTGCAGCCTGAGCTCCCCTGGGCCTTGGGAGCCGAAAATGTTGACAGCTGGACCCCCTCTGATTTCCTCACAGGCCACCTCCCAAGGTGAAGAACTGAAACTCGGAGCTGTCTGGATTCGAAGAAATGTGTGTTGCTACTGTTGCACGTGTATTTTTTTTTTTTTTCTATTAAAAGACTCATCTGTCTCCCCTGTCTGGTACTGTTTGCTCAGTGGCCAAAAGACGCATGCGCCCTTGACCAACTTTGTGTGCGCTTGTGGGGGGGTGTCTTGGAAAGTTTCATCCGGTCACATGGTGCATGCTCCATCGGTACCTGCTACGCATGTGCGTGGCTCAGCGCTCTGAAGGCGCAGGCGCACAGTGATCTCTTAAGTCACGTGAGCGGTGTGGGGGCGGAGCCGGGACAGGGGGGCCGGTTTGTTGTGGTCGCCATTTTGCTGGTTGCATTACTGGGTAATCGGGGCCCTGGCTTGCCGCGTCCGCCGGACACCCTCAGCCAGTGGGCAGGTCTGAGCTCGGGCTCCCCGAGCAGTTTGAGTCCCCTTACCCACGCCCTCAGGTAACGGTACCGGCGACGGGTGGGGCGGGGTGGCACGCTTGGGTGGGGGGCAGACCGGGATCCGCCCTGCCCATCCCCGCGAGACTTAGCAAGGGAAAGGAGGGGGCTTCAGGCCAGTGCAGCGGAGCCCGGCTATTTACGGCCGGATTTCTGAAAGGGGCCCAGCCCGAGGGAGCCGTCTTGAGAGGGAGTCTGGGAGGGGGCAGCCCGGCCCCACTCCCGCCCTTTGTTTGGGCTCGGCTGTGCTGGCCGCTTCACTGTCGCCTAGCAACAGCTGCCCTGAGTGCTGATTGGCTAAACCCTTGGCGGCAACAACCAATGGCGTGGTTGTTGCCATGGGAGGTGCGGCCTGCCGAACTCAGTTGGGCCCCGCCCGCCGGGACTCCACCGGCTGGGGCGGGCTTGCCGGGTGGGGGGCGGGACGCCAGGGTCCCTGGGGGCGGGTGGCCACGCGGGGCGGGGCTGGGCCGTAGGGCGAGGGTTAACCCGCCCCTCCCCCGTCCACCTGCTGTCCCCTTCCCCCGCGTGCCCCGATCTGACCCTCGTCCCCTCCTCTCCCCGCCCCCCCTGGCGGCGGTGGCGGCGGCTGCTGTTGTCACCCACCGGGCCGCCTGTCCCGCTTGCCCTCACCGCCGCGGGACTGGCCAGGCCGGGGACAGGCGGCCACCTTCTCATCACCGCCGCCACCACCGCCATGCTGGCCGTTCGCCCACCGCACTGGGGGCCCCATCGCTCCCCAGCCCCCCGTGGGCCCAGCGCCAGCCCTGACCCGGGTAGGGGTGGGAGCTGGGAGAGTCGGTCCTAGTGTGGGAGGGCCGGGGAAGAGGTTGTTTGTCGGTGAAGCCCCAGTAAAGGGGACCTGGAGTAGCGAGTCATAGGGCAGAAGGGATCTGACGGGGGAAGGCTCTTAGGGAGAAGACTTTGTTCTGGAGGACACTTTGAGGGAGCGACGTCTTGTGTGTTATTTAGGGATTTGGCTGTTGGGCCCTTCTAGGAACAGGCTCAATTGCGGAATGACCCGGTTTAGAAATATCTGATAAAGGGGATAGCAAGGATCCCAGTGTAAGGGAGAAAAAGACAGTGACTCTTAAACTGTCGAGAACGAACATCTCCCTCTTGTTTTCCTAGGAGTAGGGGTCTTGGGTTATGGGAAAGTCCTAGTGGGAAAGGAGTCCCTGGTGCGGGAGACTCCTCTAGGGAGCTGTCCCAGGGGAAAGTGTGCCCTGGTGGTTGAGACACCCATAGCACTCACACATAAAGGAGTTCTCAGATAACCTTGATCTTTGCTGGGCACTCCACAAGGACTGCTATGGTGTGAGGTATCCTGGAGTTCTCTAGACTCGATTCGAAATGGGGCCCTCACTGTGGCCCAGAAGACCCTGATGTTGAGGGAAGACCATGTGAAGGTTGGGTCTTTTTCTGAGGAACTCCAAATGGGCACCAGCAGAAATTGAGAGAAAAATGAATTCTACTGCCCAGACTCTGCTGGGTCTCTGTCTTCTCTTTTGCTCTCCCAATTACTGGCCTTTCTCTGTCCTTCCTGCCCTGGCCCTGTATGCACTCTATCCCACCCCTGTGTGACTCTAACCATTCCCCTTTACATTTTGTCATTATGTTATCTCATTTATTTGATGATGTGTTGAGGAACACTGCTACGCCACTTGCTTCTGTCCCCTCTGCATTGCTACCTGGTGCCTCCCCCTTGCCCTGTGTTCTTCATGCCCACTTCTTTGCTTGACTCTGATCCACATACCCTCTTGTTCCATGTTGTCTCCCTACTTGCCCTCAGGTCTCAGCGGCGGTGGCAGCCGAGGTGCAGGATGCGAGAAGGCGCCCCCCGGCCGGGCTCCCGCTCCAGGCCTCACACCCCTGTGGCCCTCTGAGCCCACCATGGCCGTCCCACCAGGCCATGGTCCCTTCTCTGGCTTTCCGGGGCCCCAGGAACACACACAGGTAGGCATTCACCTGGCTTCTCACCTGCCTGGGGGGCGAAAGAGACTGGGGTGAAAGGGTTCAGACAGCCTGATCTCTGAGGATGCTGCAGACCTGGTAATACTGGCAGGGTTTCAGGTAGGGTAGAAAGTCCACACTTAACTCCTGCTATGGGAACCAAATCACTGCGCTTCTCTGTGACCCTCTGTCTCTCACGGAGTGGTTAATGTTTGTCAGGCTCAGAACTATCACTGGCACACAACAGCCCAGAACACAGGTCTTAGTGTCCACACCGAGCCAGAGGTCTGGAGTGAAAAACCTGGAAGGGAAATCAAGGGGATGGCAAGGAAAGTGAGCTGAGGATAGTGGGAAACCCAAGAAGTCTAATCCTGGTCCAAGAGCTTTAGGAACTGGGCACAGACTCATCTGAGGGTGAGGACATGGAGCTACAGGGAAATCAATGGCCTGGATCCCCAAAACTGCTCTCGGGTGCAAAGACCCCAAGTTTCTCATTCAGGGTGTTCACTGAGATTCAGAAGAAAATATACAGAGCAGATAAGCTGACCAGGGGCTGGGTGGGCAGTAAATCATTCACTTCATCACACAATGAACAAATATCTGGGGGACCCCAATGTGTGACAGGCCCTACAGTTCTCTCCCTGAAAGTTGGAGGTGAAGGCCTGTATTCAGTGTCTGCCTGTCTCCACCACAGGTATTGCCTGATGTGCGGCTACTGCCTCGGAGACTACCCCTGGCCTTCCGGGACGCAGCCTCAGCCCCACTGCGCAAGCTCTCAGTGGACCTCATCAAGACCTACAAGCACATCAATGAGGTGGGGGAATGGGATTCCCTGCTGGGTGCTGGAAATCCAGGGGCCTGGCTGCTTGCTGGGGTCACTCAGGGGTCCGGTTTCCTGGTTGCCTGAGCAGGTATACTATGCGAAGAAGAAGCGGCGGGCCCAACAGGCGCCACCCCAGGACTCGAGCACCAAAAAGGAGAAGAAGGTCCTGAACCACGGTTATGACGACGACAACCACGACTACATTGTGCGCAGTGGCGAGCGCTGGCTAGAGCGCTATGAGATTGACTCTCTTATTGGCAAAGGCTCCTTTGGCCAGGTGTGGGACTCCGCCACTCATCCACTGTCTGGATGCAGACGTTACTAACCTTACCCACGTTTTCTCCACCCCCAGTGTTCACTTGGCCAGTCTCTCAGGCCACTTAGTATCCCTCTGTTTCAGTTTCTGTAGAAGTATAAAAAACAAAACTCCACATAAGGAAACTATGTTATTTTGTATCCAGTACAAAGGATGTGAGCCCTGGGCTGTGAGTTGTTAGTTGGAAATTTGTGGCTGGTGGTCCTCCCACCTCCCCGGGTAACTCTTCATGTCTCTACAGGTGGTGAAAGCCTATGACCACCAGACCCAGGAGCTGGTGGCCATCAAGATCATCAAGAACAAAAAGGCCTTCCTGAACCAGGCACAGATTGAGCTGCGGCTGCTGGAGCTGATGAACCAGCATGACACAGAAATGAAGTACTACATAGGTGAGTGCGGGGCGCCTGTGGGAGATACCACCAGTAAGGGTCTTTGGGCTTCTCCACCGCAGTGGCCATGCTTTGGTCATGGCTTTGCTCTTCTGCTTACCTGATCAGCAGTGGTCAGTGTTGATCCAGTGCTCACTAGGGCCAGATTGTTGCAAACACTCCACATGAATTACCTCACCCCTGCCAGTGACAGGGCAGTTTTGTGCACATGTTGGAGATAGGAAACTGAGGCACTCAGTGCTGTCACGTACATGAAGTGACAGTTTATACACAACAGAATTAATAATTTGAGAAGCAGTAGTCTCTGGAACTCTGACTCTCGAGATGGGTCCCATTCCTCTGGAAAGGGACTAATAGACTCTTAAAAGGACAACCAGTGTCCCTTGCCACAAAGATAGACACCGCTAAAAGGAAGGCAGGTTCATTTGTTCATTTGGGCTCTTAGTGGTGGTGGTACTTCTTGGGGTTTTGTTTTGCCATCCTGGGGTTCAAACCCAGTGCTTCATACACACAAGGCAGGAGCTTCATCCCAGAACTACATCTCCAGACCCCTTTTTACTAAGTTATTTTGAGACAGAATTTCACTGAGTTATCCGGACAGGCCTTGAGCTCCACTCTTTCTGCATCTGAAGACCTTGGTCTCTATGCCTGCACCACCAGGCCTGGCTCCGTGCTGTAATGTGAAATGAGGAAGCCTGGAATTGTTTTGCAGCTCTATTAGAAGGTGATAGTGCGTTTGATTTTCCCTTTGCGGTGCTGGAGCTTGAACCTAGGGCCTTGTGCTTGCTAGGCAAACATGCTCCAACCCTTCTTTGGTCATCCTTGCCCTATGCTAATATAACCCTCAAGTTATACCACCCTTTGGGGTTTTTCTGTTTTTTATTTACAATTCCAGGCTGTACTATGTGCCAAGCTGGCCCTGAACTCAACCATCCTCTGACTTAGTTTCCCAAGTGCCGGGATTACAGTTGTGTTTACTATTCCCTGCTGGCAGAAACCTTCCTTTTGGTAAAAATCAGGAGGTGTGAGAGCCTCAGGAGAATTAGCATGCTTTGCCAGTCCGCTGAGCCCAGGGCACAAACTCCTGAGGGCTCGCTGCGGTTTAGCAGAGGTGGTTGCTGTGTGGCCCCAGGCCATCTGCCCTGTCACCTGTCTCTAAGCTGTTGCCTGTGGTTCCCCACAGTGCATCTGAAGCGACACTTCATGTTCCGGAATCATCTGTGCCTGGTGTTTGAGCTGCTGTCCTACAACCTGTACGACCTCCTGCGCAACACACACTTCCGAGGTGTCTCCCTGAACCTGACTCGGAAGCTGGCACAGCAGCTCTGCACAGCGCTGCTCTTTCTGGCCACGCCTGAGCTCAGCATCATCCACTGCGACCTCAAGCCTGAGAACATCCTGCTCTGCAATCCTAAGCGCAGTGCCATCAAGATCGTGGACTTTGGCAGCTCCTGCCAGCTTGGCCAGCGGGTGCGGCTCTGACTTTGGGCAGGACCAGTGTCTTGGGTGGGATGGCATGGGGTGGCTTTGTTTTGGTCCTGGGAGCTGATATCTGAGAGATGACATTGGAGGCCCCCTGGAGGGAGGGAGTCAGAGATGAAGGGGGCAGAGGAGACCCAAGCAAGGAAGAAAGAGGGTGACCCCGAGGGGCAGGCAGCTCCTCAGAGTAGTAAAGTTGAGTGAGATCTGAGCCTGAGCTCTGCTTTGCCTACTTGTGCTCTTCAGGTCACAGGTAGAAGACCTTGTGTAAGCAGACAGGAGTTACACTAGTTAGTATAATTCAGTATGGGATAGCCAGCCTCTCTTAAAAGGGGCCAGAGCTGGGAATGGAGCCAGGGTTAAGGCAGGCCAATGAAGACTGGAAGCTCAGCAAGACAGTGTCTGGTTTGTGCAGCCTTGCTGAGAGCCTAGAGGCTCCATCCTGTTCTCAAGCAGGGGCTTGTCTTGAGTATTCAGTGAAACCAGCAGGGGAGCTAGTGCCCTGACTACTGCCCCCTTCCCCAGATCTACCAGTATATCCAGAGCCGCTTCTACCGCTCACCCGAGGTGCTCCTGGGCACACCCTATGACCTGGCCATCGACATGTGGTCCCTGGGCTGCATCCTTGTGGAGATGCACACCGGAGAGCCCCTCTTCAGTGGCTCCAATGAGGTGTGCCCCTGGAAGGGGTGTGCTGGAGGTGGAGGGGTGGAGCCTGGCCACCCGGCGCCCCTGACCGCCGCCTGCCCGCAGGTGGACCAGATGAGCAGAATTGTCGAGGTGCTGGGCATCCCGCCTGCACCCATGCTGGAACAGGCACCCAAGGCTCGCAAGTACTTTGAGCGGCTGCCTGGGGGTGGCTGGACCCTGCGAAGGACAAAGGAACTCAGGAAGGTGCGGCCCCTGCCCTGTGCCACTTCCCCCTCCCTGGGTGGCCCCTCACTCACACTTGGGGCTCCCCCCTCTCCCTGTGGCTTTCCCTGTCTTTCTCTTCCCCCTTGTCTGTCCTTTCCTTCCTCCCCTGCCCACCCCATTACCATCCCACCCCACAGCTCTTGTTAGCTTCTCTTTTCCTCTTCTTCTCTTGTGCCTCTGTTTCCCCATGTGTGTCTCCCTGCCCCTCCTGCCCACTGACGGCCACTCTCTTGCCCCCCCTCCCACCCCCTCCCTGCCAGGATTACCAGGGCCCCGGGACACGGCGGCTGCAGGAGGTGCTGGGCGTGCAGACGGGCGGGCCCGGGGGCCGGCGGGCGGGGGAGCCGGGCCACAGCCCCGCCGACTACCTCCGCTTCCAGGACCTGGTGCTGCGCATGCTGGAATATGAGCCCGCCGCCCGCATCAGCCCGCTGGGCGCTCTGCAGCACGGCTTCTTCCGCCGCACGGCCGACGAGGCCACCAACACGGGCCCGGCGGGCAGCAGTGCCTCCACCTCGCCGGCGGGCCTCGACACCTGCCCCTCCTCTAGCACCGCCAGCTCCATCTCCAGCTCTGGTGGGTGCCCAGTGTCAGATGTGTGCTGCAGGGCCTAGCCTTGGAGGCCTTGCTACTGGTCCTCTGTCCTAGAGCCTTAGAGCTACCAGATTCTGAGCTCCAGAGTAAGGGGGTGGGTGGGACAGTCCCACGTGACCAACAGAATCTCTGAATCCAGGCTTGGGATTTAGCCCCTAAAACTGACTCTAGCCTCCCACACAATCTCAGATCCTAGATTTCAAAATTGGGCTTTTAGAGCCTTCACAAGGACTCTGGTCTCAAAGGTCAATCTTGGGGTCTAGGTGTTGAACAGACTCCACACATCTTAGCGCCTCTGCCCTCTTTTCTCCATCCCGGTGTTTCCAGGAGGCTCCAGTGGCTCCTCCAGTGACAACAGGGCCTACCGCTACCGATATTGTGGGGGGCCTGGGCCCCCCATCACCGACTGTGAGATGAACAGCCCCCAGGTACTGGAGCTGTGAGTCCTCGGAGAGGGGTGCGGGTGCCTGGGGCTCCAGGATCTCAACACTCCCCATTCCTTTGTTTTCAGGTTATACCCTCCCAGCCTCTGCGCCCCTGGGCAGGGGGTGATGTGCCCCACAAGACACATCCAGCCCCTACCTCTGCCTCAACATTGCCAGGGACTGGGGCCCAGTTACTCCCCCAACCCCGATGCCTTGGACGTCCCCCATCACCAACATCACCACCACCCCCGGAGCTGATGGATGTGAGCCTGGCAGGCAGCCCTCCAGAATGCTCTCCACCTCATCCAGCACCTGCCCCCCAGCACCCGGCTGCCTCAGCCCTCCGGACTCGGATGACGGGAGGTCGACCACCTCTCCCACCCCCTGATGACCCTGCCACTCTGGGGCCTCGCCTGGGCCTCCATGGCGTACCCCAGAGCACAGCAGCCAGCTCATGACCCTGCCCCCTCCCTGGGGCCCCTCCTGAAGCCATACCCCCCATCTGGGGGCCCTGGGCTCCCATCCTCATCTCTCCCCTTGACTGGACTTGCTGCTACCCAGCTGGGGTGGGTGAGGCCTGCACTGATTGGGGCCCAGGGCAGGGGGTCAAGGGAGAGGGGTTTTGGCCGCACCCTCCCCACTAAGACTGGACCCTTGGCCCCCTCTCCCCCCTTGTTTTCTATTTATTGTACCAAAGACAGTGGTGGTCCGGTAGAGGGGAGATTGCCCCTCACCCTAGGGCCCTAGGAGGGGGTGGGGGCAGGTAGGGGGAGATGGCCTTGCTCCTCCTTGCTGTACCCCCCAGTAAAGAGCTTTCTCACATGCCTGCCTGAGCGTTTGCAGGGCCTTGGCTCCCTCTCCTGACCCTCAGAGGCATGGTGGGGAAGGTTGTGTGGGAAAGGGTGCTTTGTGGCGTGGGTATATCCCTCCTGGGGACATCATACTTGGTGCAGGCACTGGGCAGCGGGAAGTTGGCGGGCTGTAGAACCATAGACACATCCTGGATACAACGATCCTGGCCCACATTTGCCTTTTCCAGGATAAAAGGCCGCTTTCTGGCCTATTGCTGGAAATAGTAACGTCCTGCACTCGTCTGTCAGGGCTCTCATAGAGTCCACCAAGGAGTGGCTTTTTGTGTCAGGCAGGCACCCAGTAGGCTCTGGGTGTACTCCACGGGCCTTCCTTGGTACTATCCAGACAGGCCATGGGGACAGATTTTTACCCCACCTGTGTCCAGCCCCATTCTGGAGTCATTGCAGAATATTGAGATTCTCGGGCAAAAAGACGCTCCCTGACTTTCAGGTAAGTGAATTTTGTTTCATGGCAATTTGGAACCAGCTGTCTCCCAGTCAGTCTTGGAAGAACCACCTGGTTCAAACTGTTTAGCACTCACAATGGGCGGGCGCGGTGTGACTCCTGGGAGATGGAGTTCTGCTAGGCTAGCTCTTTGCTCACGTTTCTTGGGGAACTACAAAACCCAGAAGTCTCTGCGCACGTGGCTGGGGCCTGGTGTTGGCTGAGCTTTCGGCATTAGGGCCCGGATGTTGGCGGGTCAGGAGAACGGGTAGTGATTGGATAGTGTGCAGGGGCGGGGCGGGGGTGGTGGTGCTGGAAGTTGTCAATCCACTTTGCAGGGCCTGGGCGGGGCAATGGAGGGCACACGCAGAAGCCGCGGTGAGCAAGGTCCTGGTCGCTTGTGGGTCACTGGTGTCAGTGATCTTTTTGAGAATTCCGGTTAAGATTTATTGGGGGTCTTTGGTTATGTAGAGAGCTGGACTTTTTCGAAGGGGCTGAGGCACAATGAGAGGAAGGTGTACAGCCCAGTTTTTCTGAAACATGATAAGTAGGCTGCAGTAAAAGACTCGGGTCTGGCGGCTTGTGGCAGGCCCCTAGGCAAGAGCTGTCTGCGGTGTGACCCGGCAGGGGCGGTGCTGAGGAGGCCAGGGAAGGACAGGTGAACTTTCTAGAAGATTGCGTTGACAGGCTGAGTAGAAGGATGAGATAGAGAGGGCCTGGGAAGGGAGGTCTCCTGCCCCATTAATAGTCTCAGTTTGGTTTGTTTGTGTGTGTGTGTGTTTGTGGTGCCGGAGATGGTACCCAAGGAACCCCAGATGCTAGGCAAGTGTTCTACACACCCAGCCTCCCAGTAAAAGACTTTGACTGAACAGTCCTAGAAGACCAGAACTGCGGTGACCTCTCCGAGTTTAGGCCTAGTGAGGGCAGATGGAAGTTAAGTTACTTCTTGTCTAGGGTCACACGACTAGGAGATAGGCTCAGGTTGGGGTGTGTGTGTGTGTTTACCAGTCCAAATTAATTTAGCAAAGTGTATTTCAGCCTGGAGGCCTCAGCAGTACCAAATCATGTTGGCCCTGTGAGGAATGTAGAATGGGTGTGGGATGCCATTTCTGTTTGTAGTTGAGAACTGCTCCAGGCTGGCTGACTACCTGATACCTCCTTGGGTGTCTCCAGGGAGGGTACTTAGAGTTCACACTGGTGAACGTCCATGACATCTTCATTGGTCTTCCTGCCTTCATCGTTCCCCATGTAACCAAAGAAACTCTGAGCACCTACTTGTCCCTCCCTGCTGAGAAGCCTCCTAGATGCCATCTCACTCAGGGTGAAAGCCCAATCCTTTCATGACCTGCGGGCCTTTCATCACCCGCCTCTGCTCCAGCCACACTAGCTAGCCTCAGGACCGTGGTGCGTGGTGTTCTCTTTGCCTGCATCATTTGTCTCTAGACAGCACAGCCTGTCCACTCTTCTGAATCATCTTTCTGACGGCCCTGTCCATTTTCCTTCTTTAGGTTTTTCCTTGGGTCAGGCATATTGCTGGCACATGCTGAAATGTATCTTGTCACCAACCGCCTCCCCTTCCAGGAGCCCTTGAACTCCTTGGAAGCAAGCATTTGGGTCACTTTATGCTTTTTCTCCCACACAGAAGACTATGTGGCACCAGCAGGGAGTAGATCTGGACTCCACTCATCCCCTTCTGTATAGCTGAACCTTTCTGAGAGCTCAAGGCAGTCAGCAGGGATTTTGCTTCTGCAGTATACAATGTGGAAACAACAGAGGAGAAAGGGTATGTCTCTGCTATGAAAGAACTCAGATAGCACAGCTATGGGAAGTGACCAGGATCAAGAGCATCGAAGGAAAACTTGATAGGTGCTTTTGGCTCCAAGTAAGAGATTCCAGCCCATGGGGTTGGCATCGGCTCCATCCGGAAAAGTATGTATGTGATGATTGACACCCAGAGGCTGAGGTCATACCTTGTCCTTCTCAGGAGGACCGTGAGTCCCTACTGACTGTGTACAGAGAGTTGCAGGAGAATTTAAACAGCAGGACAGAAAGCAAGGTTAGCTGTGTTGGGATTCTGTTTCTTTTGTTTTAGATTTATTTATTTTATGTGTATGAGTATTTTGCCTTTAGGTATGTCTGAACCGTGAGTATGTCTGGTGCTAAAGAGGGCATTGGATTCCCTGAAACTGGAGTTAGGGATAGTTGTGGACCACTGTGTGGATGCTAGGAACTGAACCCGGGTCCTGTGGGAGAGCAGGAAGTGCTCTTAACCACTGAGCCAACTCTCTAGGCCCAGCTGTATATTTAAAAGGTTCCAGACAGGTGTCACCATGGCTACACTTAAAGATAGCCTTCATTCTGCTGTCTATACTCGAGATGGGGAAGTCTCCTTCCTCTTGAGTAATGACTGGGCCAGTAACTTGAGCCCAGTGGCCTTCACGGGTCTGTCAACTTCTCTGTTCACCCTGGTACCCTGACCATCTTTAGAGAGAGAGGTCCAGTCTTTGCCCCACCTACTGCAGCTGGGCCAAATTTGTGCATGACCTCGTGGACCTTCTGACCCAACTGGCACTACCCTGGAACAAACTTGAGTCCTCCTCAGGCCACACCCCCTGAACCTTTTTCATATTCCAGAATCATGAAATAAACAATTGGAATTTTATGACACTGTTTTAGGATGATTTGCTACTAGCAATAGCTAACTGAGGTAAAGCAGTGTTTTCCGAATCATTCAATGGTGATGTCGTCTAACTATGGGATCGCTACTTGAATCTCTCTCAGCTAAATAGTGTTGTTGTGACCATCCTACAGATAAAGAATCAAGGCACGAGAGATATCCCTGAAGCATTGTGGGTTCCTTAGCCTTAGTCTGTCCTGGGTACTCAAGCATTAATAACAGCAAGGAGTTTATGAGAACTAAGTTCTTCATAGATGTTGAAGAGATGGTGCACAGGTGAATGAAAGCATTGTTAACCACATTTTAGGAATGTAGTTCTAGCCTGCTTCCTTGGCAATATGGAGAGGGCAGCGAGTCCTTGGTGGCACTAGTGCCGTGGAGTCCGCTTGCTTCTGACTCGCTCCCAGGGAATCCAGCGGCTTGTCGAGCCAAGTCAGACGGAGCCTCCTGTTACTAGGAAGCATGAAGTCCTGGTTGAACCCGGTTCCTGTTCACTGCTTGTTGATTTATCCTGTCACAGGTGCTTGCCACTTTGTGAGCACTGTTGGGGCGGGGAGGGGGGTGCCAGTGCTACAGCAGTAACAAGCGCCCCTGTTGTTTCAAAGCCTGCATCCCGGGACAAGGTAGATTTCAGTGAAATGCCAGGGAGATGAGCTATGGACACTGGTTGGGGGACAGAGACGGTAAGGAAAGCATTAGAGGACTAGGCCAAAAGGGAGGAAGCCGTGTGTTCTTTAAGGAAGGACATCCCTGTCGGGAAACTAAAACTAAACAGACAGGAGTGACATGGACAAGGGCAAGGTCCCTGAGCAGCCAAGGGAGGCCTTGACTTGGATGCCAAGCGTCTTGGAAAGCATCATTCCTTTCAGTTAGCGGGGAGCAGTGCGGTGTTCAAAGGGCCTCTGAGAGCCGTGCATTAGAGGCATGGAACGTTCCAGTGGGACAGACAGTCTAGTCAGCGCTGGTGTCTGTGGCTTGGTCATGGTGGTAGCAGAAGAGGTCAGGTGTCAGATGCAAGGTGTTGGCTTGCATGAGTCCGGAGCAGCCTGAGTGGAGGAGGAAGGAGGAAGCGTGCTGGCCGCTGAATGTGGAAGAGCAGTCGGGTAGGCGCGTGTGAGAACGGTCACCATGTTGCTAACATGAGAGCCCTGGAGGTCAGAATGGGGAAGATGGAAGTGGGGATGAGAGTAAGAGCAGAGGCCCAGCCTGGACGGCCACAGTAATCTCTGAGATGACTAGGGGGGCCAGGGCACGGGGTGGTGAGCGGTTGCCAAGTCTGAGTAGTGTTGAATTCAGAACGCCCTGCCTCATGGGTTGGTCATGAGCAGTGACAGCGAGAGAATTGAAGGCCCTCCTGGGAGTAGAGTCAGGACCTGTGACGGCGCCTGCAGCCGAGGCTCCCCCCACTTCTCAGCACCTACTGCTTCCCCTCTGTGCAGGTGGCTGGCTGCCCTGGAGGGAACTCTTGCCCCAGCCCTATGTGGCCTTCCTGCTCAGCTCCCTACAGCTCCTCCATTCTTGGTCACAATGTGGCCAGCAGGAGTTGAAATGCAGGGGCCAGCACTACAGCCCAGTTAGACCTGCTGCCTCTGGAGAGCTCCTGTTGTGATGTGTGTCCTCTTCAGAGGGCGCCGAGCTCGGCAGGCACCCCAAGCCTCACAGTTAGTGTGCTGACAGCTGGTGTAATAGGTTGAGGATTTGGCCATGTTTTGGGGGAAGGGGTGTGTGGAATGAACTGTTGATGTTGCCTCAGGTGTGTGGACCTGAGAAGTGGGTGAGAAACACTTACCCTGGAGCATCCCCGTAGAAAGTAGAGTCTAGCAGGCTCTGAGCTGAGAAGGGCTCAAGA